TTAATAAGTTTTGATGCTTCTATGAATTTTATAAAATGTACTATTTTTAGTACAAAATAGTAAATCCAATCCATTAATATCGAAATGTTTGTCTAACATTCTGAAATAAATCCTGGAAGTATCTGTATTGCCTTTTCTGATATAGACGACCAACTTTATTAGAAACAAAAAAAAAGAAAATAATAATAAATTTATTACAGTGATTCGCAAAATCTAACCTCAAGAAGGGTAATTTGTTCCCGAACATTTATGTTGTTAATACAGTGTTATTTGTAAAAGCCTATGTTTTCTTCACTCAACGCCATCGAAATTTCAAAAAGAGAAGCGTCTAAGTTATTTAGTGTGACATGTTTTTTATAAAAAGCTCATATAAATATGTTCATATTTTTAGAACTAAGCTTATTAACCATTGATGATTTATGAAAAAGCATGGATATAAAAATATAACTTACGTTATAAAAACACATTCATTTAAGAAATCATTTTACAAACTTGATTTGTAAGCGCTACTGTCCGAGTTGATAACATGAACGTCAATCTCTTGAAAACAATTTTGCATTACAAAATGAGACTATGTTCCATATTTGAAAATAAAATAAATTCAATTTATCCTTCGCGATTAGTATTAGGTATCAGGGCTTCAGACACCATAGTAATATGCTGGCCATTTAAAAATTGTCGTTATTGATCTATTTTATATTAGAATTTAATTGGCCAGAATAACAATTCAAGCATGCATGTAATATTATATATTGCATAATTGTTTACATAAGATATTCGATTAATAGATTAATATATACAGTAATATATTCGTTATAATATAATAGACTCTAATTTGATGGATCAAAAACAACACTTCAAACAATTGGCATTGGCGCAGTAAATGGCCGGCATATTACTATGGCGTCTGAAGCCCTGTTGGGTATGCAAAACGCTTATTTTATTTATAATCGTTGTTATTTTATTACTTCATATTATGAAGATCATTATTATATTACATGTCAAAGCTATTACCTCATTTCAATAATTGATTACATTCCAATTGGTATTTACTGGATCTTTATTAAAAATGATTTTGTGATATATAGTGATTACTATGTTTCGTAAGATCACTTTTAAGACATCGAATTTTGCATGCTGTTCGGGACTAGAATGTTATGCGAGATCAATCTCTTGAGATCTAAATTGGGTTGTATATCACTTTTATGCGATAATATTAATGTTAATATACTAGAGACAATTGTTTAAACGAACTAAAGGTTTTAAATAAAAAATTAAATGCCAAATTAAGAAAAACTATTTGGGGCTTAAGCCCTTTTAATCAAAGTTCTAATATTTTTTGGGCTAAAGTTTTTAACAAAAGCGAATGTCCAAATTAGGAATTAAATAAATGATCTAAACTTAGTGAAATTAGATCTTTTAAATAAAAGTGAAATTTAAAGCCTAAACAAAAGCTAGATTACAAGTTGAGACAATAATATCGTTTTGTCTTTTAGAATCGCTAATGTCTCTTAATCACGATTATGATTAATTAATCGTGATTGTGTCACGATTGTGATTGATCGTGTTTATAACTTATTCATTTTGCTTTTGTTTATTTTCAAAAGTATGAAATGTAATTGTTTGTGACTTTAATATTGATACAAAAATTTTATTTAAATCTTTCTTTTTCATTTTTCATTATAAATTTTCACGTACAAAAAAATTAAAGTAAACCTAGTTTGTAACTTCACAGCGAATAATCGTTGATTAAATAAATAAAAATATTAGTTAAAAATAAGATCATAAAAATCAATACTAAAAAGAATGACCCCATGAGAGTAAAAAAAAAACAATTCTAAAAATAAGTCTGCACCCAAAATCTAAAAAGTTGACAAAACTACTTATCTGAATTCTATTTCAAATGCGCTTAAATTGCTTAATAGCTCTGGACATCCTAGTATATGTGAAGCCGCTCGGAGGTTTGGAATTGCAGAGACAACCTTAAGACGTGCAGTTAAAAATAACGGTTTGCCCAAACATCCCAGTTGTGAAACTATTTTGAATACCCATGAAGAAGAGCAATTAGTGGTTTATTGTAAGAATATACAAAGTTTGAGGTTTGGATTGACAAGATCAGGAATAAACCATTGTGTTATGGAAATCATGCATAGTAACAAACGTAATCACTCATTTATCAACAAAGGACCTGTTAAGACCTGGTGGGCACATTTTATGAAAGACCACCCAGATTTATCTTTTTGTGTACTCTAGGTCTTATCAGAAGCCCGTGCACAAAGGGCAAATCCAATAATTATAAATGATCATTTTAAAAAGCTTCGCCAAATAATTCAAGACCACGCACTCACTGCTGATTATATTTGGAACATAGACGAAATGGGCTTTGTCCTCTCTCCAAAACTTAAAAAAGTTATTGCAGCAAAAGGCGCCCGTCAATTCCATAAAATATCTCATGGAAATAGAACAGACCACATATCCGTTGCTCCAACAATTTCAGCTGCTGGCGAATACATTTCTTCATTAATAATATATAAAGGTGTTCGTATGATCCAGGTAGGATGGCATATTATTAGGTTGTAGATTGTTAGTTTTGTTGAAGAATTCTAATTGTTACATTTTTTTAACAAAAAATTTAAACGAACTTTATTTTTACAACCGCTAATCTCAGGTCTATTAACTGGGATACCACAGGACCCCAAATAATACTAATAAAGATGAGAGATAAGTTAATAATACATTTTAAATATTTTTTCCACTTTAAGAATTCTAATTTTGACTAATTTAAACCTTGCACTTTATAAATAATGATTTATTTGTCCAATTAAATTATATAACATATATACAGTTATATATAAGTGCAGGAGAGAGAAAAGGATGCACTCATTTTTTAATAAGTTATTAATTATTTATCCAATTCAGCTCTTCTTAATTTACAGCATTTTGAACATTAAATATATCCAATATTGATATTATTAATATCAGATATATTTAATGACCGAAATGCTATAAATTAGAAGGACTGAATCAGATAAATAATTAATAACTTGCTAAAAAAACGAGTGTGCCCTTTTCCTTCTCTCGCACTCATATAGTATCAAAAGCAATTACAAAGGTACTTTAACTATTTTATTATTAATTAATAAAATTAATTTAATTTAATATACTGTGCCAAAATACAATATTTATTTGTTTTGTTTAATAGAACTAAATAAGTTACGAAGAAATTTTATTTTCAACAAATAAAAATCTAATTTATAAAATATAAATGTATCATTATAGTATAATTTATTTAAAGATATTTGAAACTATAATCTCTTAATAAATGTTTAAAAATTTGCAAAAATAAAAGTTTAACTTTATAATTTTAGAGAAGGTCTACAAAGTTAACTTTTTTTAAAAAAATTTTTATTATTTGAGAAAATATAATTTATTGTAGTTATATAAAATTTAAAAATCATTCAATTTTACAAGCAATAATAAATAGTGCAAATTGATATAACTAAAAAATTAATAAAATAAATAACTGATTTAATTTGCTTTTTATATTATATATCTCTATTTAAAATTTGCTATAAAGATATATTTACAAATCTAATTTTTTTCTGTCAAAATAATTTGTAACAAATCTAATTTCTTCTGTCAAAATAATTCATAACAAATCTAATTTCTTTCATCAAAATAATTTGTAACAAATCTAATTTTTTTCTGTTAAAATAATTCGTAACAAATTCTTGGTTAAAAATTCATTAAAACTTCTATATAAATCTAAAGCTTGTCCAAAAATAGTTACTATAATGTCTTTCATTAATATCAATAAAATTATCAAATTCAAGAAAATAGATCAAAAATTTAAGACTAATATAACTAAAAATCATATATCCTAAATTAGTTATAGATGAAAAAATATCTCGAAGTAGAAAAAAAACTCTAATAGAAAATAGGATAAAGAATCTATATTTAATACATTACTATGTATATAAGAATGATAATTAGAGCTTTTTTGATACATTGCCAAAATTTGTACCAAGCAAAGCTCATGATTAATATAAGCAAATCTATAATCAAGCTTGTGAAGAGGATTGTGCTCTCTAACATTAGCAACTGAAATTTCACTTATATCTAAATTTTAATAATCATTAGTAAATAAATTAAAAACTTAATGTAATTCTAATATTTTTGTTAATATTTGATAATACAGATAAATAGCAATGATTCTTTTAGTAGATTTTACATAACTTTTCCCTTTGTGATATTTCAAGATTTGATGTATAATTTGCAATTATACTACTAACAATATTTGGATAAATTAAATTTGTATAATTAAATTGTTGAGTTTTACGAATTGTTTTTTACTCCATATGTTGACTATTATAGGCTTCATGATTTCTTCGTAAATTAACCAGATAAAAATATTCAAAGTCCCAGATTTAGTAACACCAGTATCAAAGTTTTCATTTGATTCTAAATCCTGACTATTTAAAGAAGTTGTATCTGATAATAAAAAAGATAGCTCAAGATATGCATCCCTTAAATCTTTCTCAATATTATCATCACAAATATCAATTAAATTAGAATTAACCACAATATCTGCTGCTATTGCAATTATATATGAATCTGATATATTACTACTTTAAGATATACTACTATTAAAATAATCATAATAGTTATTATTCTCATTATTTAATGGATTTAACTTCTTAGTTAAAATATTTAAAATATTAAAAAATTGATCTTAATTAACTATCGAAAGAATTTTTGCAAAATTCCAAGCTTGCTGATATCCTTTATAAACAACATGAAGCAAATCAGCATCTGAAGACCACTGACACAATATATTAGCTATTTTTGCAAGCGTTCCAGTATTGTAATATGTAATATAGTCTAATAAAAGTAAATAAAATAAAATTTAAATATTTATTCAAATAGCTAATTAATATTTAAAAAAAATTAAACATCAGATTTTAAACTTATTCTTTAAATTATTAAGCTTAAAATTTGATTTTTTTTCAATAAAATTTACTAATTATATTTACCAATATCAGATATCTTATCTTTTATTATTTATTTAAAGTATTTATTATATACACTTTGTATATATATGAAACTTTTGGTACAAGTATAATAAATCAGAAAATGAAAAATCATTATTAATTTGGTGACTAAGTCTAAAAAAATGTTCACATCCTTCAGATCCATAAAGCCAAGGTAAAAGTGGATAAAAATTATAAAAATCACAATATGATATTATTAAAAGTATCTAAAATAAATAAATAAATAAATAAGGATAAATATATACATCGCACTATGCAATACACTTGTATATCGCGCTTATATATAAACAATAATCGCAAATCTATGTAACGCAAAATCAAAATCTATTTTTATATATCAATTAATCGGGTTTAACATTAGTTTAAGGCTGATAGTTAAAGGTTAGGGTAGTGTATAGTATATGGTAAAATTTTGCAAGGAATTTTTTTTATTAAGACGTTAAAAGCTGTTTCATATGCATAATTTTGAGATATTGATAGTTTCTTTAAAAAAAACAAAAATTAACATTACACCTGATTTTCACATTACACTGCAGATATATAATTTAATTGGTAGATTGTTGGGGTGCGATATATTGGTGCATTGCATAGTGTGATGTTTAATTAAGCCCAATAAATAAAATTAAATTGTAAATATTAATTATTTTAATATCATTAACTTATTAATAATTACTTTACAGACAGTTATTTTGTAGCTATTTTATAAACAAATTCATTTTATAGACAGTTATTTTACTAATAGCTTATTTTACAAAGTAATTCTATTTACTGTTGTTAAAACCAGGTTTATTAAAAATCTTATTTGTAAAATAAACTGCCAGTAAAATATGCTGTCTATAAAATAAACTCGTTTATTGTCTGTAAACTAAAATAATTTTTGTAAATAATATGAATCCAATTATTCTTACTAATGATTCAGCTAAGCTTATTAAAATATTAAATGTTTGCATTGCAAGAAAGTTTTTTTCTAAACTAACATAATTAGAACTAGTCAATTTAACTGATCTAATATATGATATCTATATTTTAAGAAAAAAATATGTCATCATAACCATATGAGCTCTTTTTAGATGAGAAATTGTTCTGTTTTGATATGCATCAATTAATTCACCTAATATAATATAAAATTTAATTTAAAAATTATTATTTTTAATTAAACAAATTAATGATATATTAATAACATACCAATTATAAACAAATAAATGAAAAGTCCATAATGCTCATTCTCAGAAATATTATTATTTATTACTTGATTAAGAAACGAAGAACAAAAAAGACGATAATATCTTGACAATCACAATTAATAATATCCTTTTTATATAAAACACAATCAGCTTGTTCATACAAATCTAATACTTGATTATATATTGCTATATTATTTTCTAAAATAAACAACCATGCTCCTGAAAACAATGCATTTCAAGCAGATTTTTGAGTATATAATAGATCTAAAACCCGAACTACTAGGCCAACGTCAGAAAAAACTGGGTAAGTAAAGTTTATATTATATATTGAATCATTGAAACTTATTGATTGTTCAGTAACTTTAGTCATTAAACTTTTTTGAGCATTAAATTCTGAAGTAGCACCATCAGCTTCAATAGAAACTATATGAATCAAAAGTTGTCTAGCTATTTCCAACACCTTTTGATGCATTCTTAAAATTTGTATTGATGTTTCATTATCATTATTTGGAAGTAATCCTATTACAACTGGCAGAAACTTTGGTAAAGATATCTTAAATTCAGAAAATTTGATTAATAAATATATATAGAATATATAAATTTTAATTATACTTTTCAAAATAATAGTATCTATAAGCTAATTTGTGTATTTAAATATTTATTTTGAGCTAAATTATTTGGCTTTTTTAGTTACAAATAAAAATTAAAAACTTTTACAATATATATTATTTTAAACTATTTATAAACATTTTAAACAATATAATTTTCAAATAATACAATACTCTATATTACAAAAATAATAAAAATATAAATACTTACTTGAAGTAAATATAAATAAACTTGTTTTGCAATTGCATTATTTGAAATTATATTTTGAATTATCAATTTTACTTCATTATAATTTTCAATGTGAGTTTGTTCAAGTAAGAAAGTAGATCCAATAATACACCCAAAATTCACAGAATAGCCAAGACGAGGATGAAGTTTAATATTATCAGTCATTATGATAACTGGTCCATTATAATTTATAGAATCTGCTAATTATTTAAAATGTGCTATATTTTCAAAGCAAATATCTGTATTATATATAAACTCTTCAGATTTTTGGCACAATAATCTGGATAAAAAATATTTTTATCCTCATTAATTTAATAGACAAATTGCGAATCATCTAAACAAATTTTTTTTTTTATATATAAATTTTATTATAAGTCTGAATGTGTAGCGCTTCTATCTAAAACTTTTTTTTACTAAATAAATCACTATTGAGTTTGTAATAAAAGTTGTAGAGCTCATCAAAATGTATCTAATAGTGAAAGAACATTAAAATCAGTCTGGTGATTCTTGAGAAATCTTTAAAAAACTTCTTTCTCACATATAAAATTTCTTTAAAAAAAATTGATTTTTTTTAAAAAAAATTTTATATGTGAGAAAGAAGTTTTTTTAAAGATTTCTCAAGAACCACCAGACTGATTTTAATATTCTTTCACTATTGGATGTATTTTGATGAGCTCTACAACTTTTGTTACAAACCCAAAAGTAATTTACTTAGTAAAAAAAAAGTTTTAGATAGAAGTGCTGTATATTCGGGCTTATAGTAAAATTTATATATAAAAAAAAATATATTTGTTTAAGTGACTTGCAATTTGTCTATTAATATATAGATTATATAATTTTATTACTATAAACTGCTATATACAAGACCTTCTCGGATATCAAACCTAGACTTAAATATAAATTTCAGTTTTTTTTCTTTCAACAGTACAAACTCTCTACTATATACTAGATTTGGGTTTAATACAGATTTTAATATTAATAAAATATAAAAGACCTGGATCTTTTATACTGCAGTTTACAGTATTATATTTTTTTATAAACTTCATATATTAAATAAATAATAATTTGATACCTTATATATCATAGTGTTTGTCCTGCTAGGTTTGTTCGAAAAAACTCATATACCTTTAAACTAAGGCTAGAAAGTACTACTGTAAAGTGAATAAAATCTTCAGAATACTTTAAGTTTTGAATGCCTTTGCTATAATCTTTACGTTAGGCTATTTGTATTATTATTTTATATAATTCTTTAAATGCAGGCTTTGATTCAAATGCTTCACTGAAGCTTTTTTCTGCTAATTTTAGCCAAAATGGCATTGAATTATTATCTTTAGTATGAAAAACTAAAGTCCAAAGTTCTTTTATATCTAAGTTTCCAAAGAATTTCAAAAGCGGATTATTTTTGAAATGTAATTTTGGTGTAAACTATCGATTTTTTGGTTTTGGAATAGGTTTGGAAAGTGCATTCTTAAAACATTATAATATTATTAAAATAAAGTATAAAAAAAACTTAAATACTTAAATATTTACCCTAAACACATGATCTCTAGTAAGTAAAATGCATTTTGCATATATTTGTTCAATTTGATATATATAGACTTCACATGCTGAGCTACGTATACACAAACATTCTTGATCAATTTTCTACTTAGATCTTGCGAATAATTCTTCATTAAGTTTTTTTGATTCATTTGATATAAGATTAGAGTAAAAAATTTTGTTTTTTTCATAAACTTTTGTGAAAAAAGTTCTTGTGCTACTTCTTTAACAGGTGGTGCTCTTCCAAAAACTATAAAGCCACTAACTCGTTCAATATATACAAGATGTTTCTCTTCACATAAACCAATACATGAATATTTTTTATCATATAGTTGTTCATATTGAGAATTAGAATTTTTTTATATCTCGAAATCCTTTGTTCTTAATATATAAACCATTAGATACATAAGACTCAATGCATGATTTTTTGTAGCTTCTTTTTAGTTTAATTGACTTTTTGCAATGTCTATAGCATACATACAATGAGCTCAAGATTTCTAGTATATCAAGATAATTAGCAAGTTCTGCTTGCTAAAAATTACAAATTTAATTAAATACAAATTAATACATGGGAACTATAAAAAAAAATTTAAACTTTAGACTTATATAATTTACAAGTCAGAAGTATAATCTTTTTTTGACAATCTTCAAATAAATATATTGCTTAAATTATCACTATCATTATATCATACTTTCTCTAAAATAGTTTTCAAATTCATACTGCAATTTCGTTTTTTTTAAAAGTTTGTTTGCTTGAAATTGTTAGCCCATTATTTAAATGTTCATTATCTATTGTTTCATAACTATCAAATGTCTTATAGCAATCTTAGATATTTGAAAATTCACTATCAGACTGTGAAAGCTTGGTAAAGATAAGCAACAAATCTATCAATATGCTTGACTAACAAATGTCTATAAAACTTCTAAATACACCAAAAATTTTGATTATACAATTTTAGCCAAAAGTAAAATTTTGAAAATTCTTGGTCACGATAGTGAAACCTTTAACTAGTCTTTAATCACAAAAAACCTTTTAACACAGCAAGGCTTTTGACCACAGCAAAATTTTAGTCATGACAAAACTTCTAACTACGAAAAACTTCTGGTTATAGCAAAACTTCTATCACAAAAAATTTCTGGTCACAGTACAAAACTTCTGTTCATGGCAAAACTTCAATCACAAAAGATTTTTGGTCACAGCAAAACTTCTAATCATAGTGAACTTCTGATCATGGTGAAATGTCTGACCTCCAGAAACTACTAATCCAAGTAAATTTCTGAATATAGCAAAGCTTTTAACAGTAAAACTTCTGTCAATTAATCATAGTAGTCTTAGTTAATTAACAATATTTTTATCACAGCAAAACTTGATTATAAGTAAACCCGATTACAGAATTATCGATTACTTTATTTCAAACTGATCTGCCATTCAAATTGTATATAAAAGCATAATTTCAAATTTTAGCCTGCATTAAACTTAATGCAGGTCAAAATTCGAAATAGTATCCTTAGCATTATTTTGCAAAATGTCTTTTTTTATAATTGTAGATGTTTATTGTAATAAAATGTATATCTATTTTAAATATTATCCTTTATTTTACCAATCCTAGTTTTAGCATTTCTGATTTATTAAAAAAGCCAGTTTAAACATATAATCCTCTAAAAAAATATAGATGTTTTTGTTCTATTTAGTATCCCGTCTTTGTTAATATTATCTGAGGTCTTAGCATCACTCAGTAACGTTATAGGATTTACCAACTCCGGGTACATGAAAAACATCTCTTTTAAATATACATCTAGCACTTTATTAATTCTATTTCACCTACTTGCCGGTCCTCTTAATTCTTAACACTTACAAGAGTCATGTTAACTATTTATGCATTAATTTTTGTCATGAAAATAGAATCTTGTTGTATGCACTATTACCGCATACAATGCATATTCTCTAGCTATCAGAAACCCCTTTTGCCAAACTCAAAAGAGAGTATAACAATGGTTGTGATAAACTTTATAGGAATAGTGGTGAGCTGGTGACTAAGCATATATTTGCAAAGGTACTCAGACCAGCATTTGCTACAATCTACACTCCTACAGCAATCACCAATGCCTATAAAGCTACAGGAATCTGGCTATTTAATTCAGACGCTATTAATCTAAACTGTCTCAATCCTTCATTAGTAATTAAACTGCTTGATTTTAATTTATCCTTCTCTTAGCAATCAGTTCAACAAGCCAATGACATTGTTCAAATATTCCAACAAACTCCTATATATGCTACTTTAAATAAAAAACTTGTATCTCTTAGAGAAGAAATAAAGTTGCTCAAAGAAGAAAATACATTATTAAAAAAAAATAATTTGTTAATGCAAGAGAAACTAAAAACTTTTAAAAATCCTGGTACTTGCCCTTTAAAGCCTGCATTAAAATATCTGGTCTGTCCTACCTAAGCCTCTAATGAATTAGATATTGATAATTCATCAGCTCAACTACCAAAGAAAAGAAAAACTTTGCTGTTTGCCCGACTTCTTACAAATGAGGAATCATTGCAGGAATTAAAAGAGGCAGACGATTTAGCAAAGAAGAAAGTTGAAACTGTGAAACATAAAAAAAAGAAGGCTCTTTGTAAAAAAGAAGAAAATCTTTGTAAAAAAGAAGAGAATCTTCAGAGGCAAGCTGAATGAGAATTGCAAAAGACACAAAGACAAGGTGCTCGTAAAAAAGCAAAAAAAGAATAAGGCGATATGTGTATTGATTATATCATGAATAAGATGTAGAATCATGTTAAATTTTATATTTTCTGATTAGCTATTTTGCTTCTCATACTTTAATTTCATGTTGATCTGTCGATCCACCACTTTACTACCAAATGTTGAAATTATTCAGCACTAACAAAAGTTATGAAATATAAGTTAACTTGCATTTTTTATTTTTTTAGAATTTAAATGGATTAAAAAATATTATATTAAAATAAAACTGTAATAATAAATTTTGAAATAAAGTTTTATTATAAGTGAGTTCTGATAAATTTTAAATCTGCCATAATACCCTACTTCATCTTATACTATTTAACATGTTATTATAATAACAATAAGCTTTTAATAATGCTTATGTTTTACGTAATTTGAATATTATATAGTTAAAACATTAGTAACTTTGAATTAAATAGTGGGTTGATAATATGTATGAATATATAGATATTATCATTTCATTAATTATATGGCTAAAGGTCATTTTGCATATCTAACAAAGATCGTGATAATTAAAATTACTCTAATTGATTTTCAAAATAACAATAATAAATCTCATTTCGCTAATAATTTATTTGCATATAGGATAGTTCTCTTCGTAAAAGTTCATTTGAGTTCTTTATTCTTGTATTGTACCCTAATTATATAATAAATTGCTTACGCTAGTATTGAATACCTTAATGATTATAGCCAAATAGCTAAATTAGCATCGAGTATTGAAGTTTCTTCCTTGATCATAACAACATCTGACAAAAAAAAACTAGCTGACTGATTTCGGTTAAAGGTACAGTATGGTATTATATAAAGTTGGTGGCAAATTTTATTTTTGCTTATATTTTTATTAATGGGTATCCATTTGTTAGTACAGTTTTAAAAGTT